ACAACCTGCCTGCAGGCAAACGTCTCTTCCTCATCACTCTGAATTTCTGTTTCACATTCATTCTCGCTCTGTAAGCGACCCGTCCCGAGACAGCAGGAGACACAACACTGAGCACAGGAGTGCAGAACCTGCGAGGGTCAGGCAGTGCAGGAGAGGTGGAAATGCTGCAGACTTCAGGGAAATGTGGCCCCAGAGCAAGGTCATTAAACATACACCGTGTTGCCAACAGTGGCAGGGAAGGTGAGCTGAGAGATATATTTTGGCATTTTAAAAATAACCTTCACTTCATCAAAATGTTTTTATTTAAAGAAAGCCATCCTCAAGGAGAGGGGATTTGACTTTTCGGACCTACTGCTTTGGATAAGCCAGGGATAATCCATATCATAGCAGTCTGAAGATTAAAAACAATATTTTACCTGCAATGTTAAGTGAACTAAATCAGACACACAAGCTTAATTATCACATAATTTCCCTTTTAAGAGAAAGCCAAATCATGAATTAAGAACAAAACAAAAGATAGATAATAGGAAGTAGAGAGACAGATCTCTCTTAAAGGAGAAGGAGATGAAGAGATCAGGGGGGAGGAAGGGGAGGAAAAGATAATGGAAAAGGAATTAAGATGTTATGTACACAAACCAGCTCCACACAAGGAGGGCAGACAGCATGTACTGCAAACATATGCTAATAAAAATATTTCAAATACTCTAAATTCTTTAAAATTTGGGGGTTCTGCAGAATTAAAGTCTTTGGCCTTAAATGTAGGCTAAAGAAAAATTTCAGACTTGCAGTATATACACATGGCATTTTATGGTGAAGCAGAGTGAATGTTTCAAGTGGTTTACTTACGACCTTTTCACCGTGTAACAGCATGGGAAAGCTAAGGTGCTGTGGAAAATTTATCCGTGCTTCTGCCCTCCCCACCACCACAACAATTTCATTTTTCAATAAATGACCATGTATAGTAAGATACATGTTAGCAATCTGAGACTTGTACATAAGTGCTGAAAGTTGTATTTTTAAATCCATCAATTAAAATGCCTACTCCAAGTCTTATAGATCAAATACCCTTGCACAAATCACACACCATACAAAATAAACCGACAAAGACACACTAAGCCTGAAATGAGTTTCTGCACAATGATTTTTGATGCTAAGATGTTGGCCCCTTTAGTCAAGGTCTTAAACGCCTAGACTACGTGTTGGTAAACTAGTCAACTAGCAACCTGAATTCAGCCCAGGGACTGTCCTTGCATGGCTGGAAAGGGAAACATAGGTTTGAAATTTTTAAAAGTCTATAAAACAAATAAAGATATGTGCTAATGATCACATGTGGCCCACAAAGTCTAAAATGTCGGTTTCGGATCATTTTCACAAATGCTCCACCAACTCCTGGGTTAAACTCTCAGTGGGCTGAGGCTTAGCCTTCATTTGCAAGTTTGGATTAAGTTGGAAATGCTGTGCTATTACAGTAAGTGCTGCTTTCTTCCGGGGTAGGCAAGCTGTATGCTTGAATTTCTACTTAATTTAATCAAATTAACTATATTTTACTCCTTTATCAGAAGTAATGCCTAAGGAATGAGTCTATCTGGTGATAATTCTAATATTGAAGAACTTAATCTGACATTTAAAAAATAAAAGAATATGAATTTGAGGTAGAAAACAGAATTACAAAAATGAATAAGTTTTAAATTAATTTTATTAGTATAATACATATGTATATAGTGATCACATTCATCATAGGGAATTTGTACCTGTGCATAATATATCTTGATTCTTCATTTTGCTACAGAGTGAAGAACAGAAAAAAATTGAAGCAAAGCTTGTATAAATAAAGAGAAAGGGGTTGAAGGGAGGGGAGGAGATCGGGTAAAAAGAAATTTAAAATTCTTATACCCAACTGTAATATTCTTTCCCAACAGTGCTTCAGAAAATACGTATCTCTCCATGTTTTGTAATATGTAGCTTTACACAAAGATACTTAAATGTTTTGAATGTAATAAAATTTAAAGATTTATCCAGCAAAATATATCTTGTGAACTTACACCATATAGTTTCAGAATTTAAGCTCAGTTAATACTTTAACATTAACTTCCTCATAAGTCAAAGTCATACTAAATTAGAAAGAAAGTCAACATTATACTAAGGAACCAAAAATAAGGTTAGTCTGGCAATGAGTAAAGAAGTCCTTATTTTAAGCTAGTAATTCCCAAATGTGCTTTTTACTTCGAATAAGAAGTTATAAAATAATTTTTTACAAAATTATTTTTGATTTTAAACAACAAATTGTGCTTATCATTCAATATCAAACATGTCTTATTTCTTATAAGAAATTATTACTTACAATTTTATCTCTCTATATTCAATGGATTGTAGAGATACAGGTGCCATGAAAGGCAATGTAATTAAAATGTTTACTCACAAACATAAAAAAGTAATGTTTTTCTTAAAGTGCATTAAAAGTTAATAACATAATTAAGGAAAAAAGCTATTTTGATGAGGCTATTTTATGCGAGTGAGGAATTTTTCTTTTCTCTTTAAGCTATCACTAATCAGTAAACTAATTTGCTACTGGCTGCAATTTTGATTTGAGGTTTGGTCTAATATCTGGTATGCTTTGAGACACAGTGCCTATATCAGACAACTAGATATTTTCAACTCTTCCAATTATGTATTACTGTTATGTTACTTAGGAAAAGATGTGTTTGTCAGCTGTTTGGTTTAAATCTGCGACATTTCTCCACATTAAACAAGGTCAAGCCATGAATAATGCCCAAGATCAACTAAAAATAAAGATCAATGACTTGTGGTATGGATTTGAAAGGATGTGGGTCAATGTAAAAGCTGCACGATTTTTTTCTTCAATATTTTAAAACAAATTCCCATCTTCTGTGGGTAAAGCAGCCCAAAGCCGTCTCTGTTAAACCATCTATTCTCAGAAACAACAAGCCTTTGACATCTGTGACACAGGAGACATGCAGAAGTCATTAAGGGTATCCCGAGGGGACTCCAACAGTTGCTTCACTTCGGGGTGGGTGTGAGAAGGCTTAAAATTAAATTACTCTAAAATAAAGTTAGAGCACTAAGCAATTTCCTGCTTTCCACGCAGTAGGGTTTCCCGTGAGAAAAGAAAGTAGGCAAAAAGCTCAGACAGACAGACAAACATATTTACCCCTAGGTGGAAGGTACAAATTAAATTAGCCCGTTACAAAAGGGAGATGTTTTCTTCTTCTGTTCAGATGTCATGGTAGTGAGGAAACATAGTCTGGGCCAAGAAAAATGGCACAAATGCATTCATCGGAGCTACCATTCATCCTGATCCAAGGTCTAAACAGAACACATAAAAGAACAGCACTCTGGAAGGACTTCCTCTCCCTAGTTACCAAATCGAGATTTACAAGGGAACATGGGAGCAGGGGGTGGGGCTCTTTCCAGAACATTTCGATGTTGATGGAAGTGTCAGAGGATGCTATGGAGTTAACGACTGAATCTGAAACCACATCAGTATAATTTGATTCCACATTTCATAGAAAGAGCTGTGTTTTATGGTGCACAGTATGGTGTGCTTAAAGGTACATTGTGAACTTTCTTCCCCTCTGTAGCTGGAAACCAATATAGGCACTTCCAAAGAGTCAAGTATCTATTATAGTGCCTCATTAATATGCATGTTTTTGGCACTCAGTTTGGTTCAGCTGGTATGCTTTCCAGTATCTCATTCTTTATTTATATGAGACTGGGAGGTGTGACCTATGGAGCCAGTTGGCTGTCATGAATTGGAATATTCATTAAACCTCATGAATTATGCATTAGCCTGCTTATAATACTGAGATCCACATTTGATCCAGCCAGAACTCTCAACTGCTTCCCATGTGATGGAACGATCCACATTTTGGTCAAACTATACATGTGTTCCATACACTGTAGAAGGAGTGTGTGTGTATTTGCTACCCAGAAAGGCTTGGAGATTTTGCAACTCATATCTGACTAAGTAGATTTCATATTTTCTGCATTTCTGAAGGGCATAGCAGACATGGCTTCCTTTGGCAAACTAGGTTATAGTATCATTGTTCTTTAGCCTGATTACTATTTCCATCCATTACTGCCCTTGTCTATAAAAGTCACCATTGACTGGTCAGCAGTCTGGATTACAAAAGATATGTAGCTATCTCCTGGTGATCCACACATAAAAGCAAAGCCAAATATAAAGGACACAGAAAATGCTCTTAAGAATTTAGTTTCTCTTATCTAAAACAAGAAAGTCCTTTTTAAAGATAGTCTTATCGTTTTGGTTGCCTTTTATGGATAAGTATATCCAGGCTACATAAAACCTAATGTGGAGATTTGCTGATGTTCTAAGATATTATCAAAACAATATGAGTTAGTAATTAAATATTTTAATGTTAAATTATGTGCATCAATACTAAATTTATGCCTTGCTTAAACTATACCTTTTAAAATATAAAGGAAAAAACAGAAGGCAGGACAGACCAATTGGCAAAAACTAACAAAATCTCTAATAAGTACCATCAAAAAAAGCCTTTCACTTTTTTATTCTTAGAGCAAGCCCCAATCAAGTTAAAAGTGCCCATCTAAATTGTCCATTCTTAAATAAAAATATGTTTTTTCATAGCACTGATCCCAAATCTGTGCTCACCATCCACTTTTAAAGATTTTTATTCTTTCTCTATCTTGACCTGCCTCAGAAGGAGCTCTTATTCAGAGAAGTAATTATTATCAGTTAAACCTAAAATAATAATTTGAATGTAATGCATTCCATTGCTCTATTCTAGAAGACTGAACCAAAGAATATACAACAAGCTCTAAAAAGGTCATGGGTGAGGCCCGGGTGAAATGGCATTGTTTACAGATTTTTTAGTGAAGAGATTAGCTGTCATTTACTTTCACATACCTAACCGAGGGGCTTTAGTGGTTCCCAGCAAGAGAGTGTTCTCTTCTCTTTCTTAGCCTGTCACACCCTTGTCAGTTTCAATAAAATTACTTACCTGCATTATGTAAATGAGCCTCTGTTATGTCCAGCTCCCATCATTGTTCATATCCAGTACAGCTGAAAATTCTAGCAGACCCCTTGCTTGCACTGTCTTATTCCAGGACTCCTTAGGTCGAGACCTTTCAACCTCAGAGCTTGACTTATGCCACAAGCATTTGACAAATCGCCCACACCCTCACAAAAGCTGGTTGAGCTCCAGGGTGACTGCGTTCTCTATACACCACTGTTTCTCTGTTTTGACATTTCCTTCTCACTTTTCCTCTCAGTAATTAGACAAAGGGAGAAAAAGACATTTGTGTTTAAAGAATGCTTTCATTTAGGACCGTGATAAATGGCTCTCCTTTCCAAGAAGCTGCAACACCACTGCAGGACAGAAGGTTCCTTCACAAGGGGCCTGGACAGCACAGGCCGCCCACCACAGCCTTCCCGACTTCAGCTTTGCCTCTGAAGAGCCCACAGAGAGTGTCCCCGGAGCCCGCAAAGTGGGAAAATGTAGCCTGAACTTCCTTCCCAAACGTGTCCCGGGTGTAGACACGAGGGGTTACAACTGAAACGCGTCTAAGAATGTTGAGTGGTGGAAAACAAATTTGAAACAAAAAGACCTTGTGATTGTTCTAAAGTAATTTTAGCGCCATTAAAAAGGTCTGTTTACACACTAAATAGCAGATTAGAACATATTCCACTCCCTGGTGCATTTCGGGTCTCATCCTGAAAAAGAATCAATCAACAGAACTGTGTGCTCTGATGTTGGAGCGGCCTATGACAAATTCGGATTATTTGTGTGGAAGTTTGATTGTGTTCCTGTTAAAACAAAATACAAATCTGTTGTGTTACAAAAGGGAAAACTGGCATGGTAATGACGGAAAAGTTTTTAAGAGGGAGTAACTTATGTCAACCATGTTTTCATAAGGTTTTTTGAGAGTGGTGAATTAATGTTCCTTGTTCCACTGGGGAAGAAGGGTTGCCAAACATGTCAACTAATTGAAACTGCATGTGACTCAACTGCTGAGAGTTTCAGCGAGGAATTAGTGTGCTACCCTTCATGCTATGGTTAATCTGCCCTCTTAGCTCATGGTAGTGCCTTAATCGGAGCACGATCAAATGATGCTCTCAAACCAGCTAAAGCACCTCTAATATCACACTGTAACTCATCAACCAATAACCTTATCTCTGAGGCTGAAAGCAGGGTATATGACTTTACTGACACATTAAAAGAGGAAAAAAACAGGAAAATTTACAATTAAAAATGCCCACTGATGTTGGCATGTGACATTTATCTGATTTGTGAAGCACTACATTTAGAATTGTTTACTAGTGTGAAAATATGACATTCTTATATGTTTGTAAGACAGCACTGTTTTTACTTTACTTTATTTTAAATCAATAGTAAGTCTTCTAGTTCCCGCTAATGGATCTACAATACCATGTCTTTTAATAAAATAGAAACTTGGCACCTGATTTTTAAAAATGACTGTTGATTGTATAAACAAACTATTCGTGGGCCCTTCCTCTCCCTTTCTTGTGCTTAGTTGTAAAAGCTAAAGCAATGTTAATAAATAAACAAGTCAGAATTTCTAGCCCACAAATCAAAACAAAGCTATAAAGGAGGAATCGATTTCATTTGGATTTTTACTGAATTTTTTGTGAGGGAACAAGGTCTTCAGATGGTTCCCATGTAAAAGGCACCAGACCAAGCAGCCTTGACAAAGTGCACCTCCAGGCCTAAAGGCCGAGATGTATTCCAGTCCAGAGATCTTTCCAGTGTGCAAGCATGCATTTAGTGAGAAAAGGAAATCCTGGGAACTCACTTGGTAAACCTTTAATTGATACAGTGTAGCTGAGTTGATGGCTTCTGTTCATTCCTTGCATTGAACAGAGCAGAGGTGAACCTGGGCATGCATAACTGAAACTGAGTGTCATAGGAACCTCAGAGCTCCAGGGCTCAAAGTGGATGTAGCTGAGGAGAAAAGGTATCTCATGATCACTGACAAATACAAAGTTGTATTAGACATATCTCATTATTGTACAGGAGAACGTGCATATTTAAATGTAAATTCATTTCTAATGTGTGAAATTATGGCATTATAAAATTGTGTTTACGTGTTAGCATATGATTTTTGAAGATTTGTGAGAGTATCAAATGGGAAATTTAAAATAATCATGATTAGTTAAAAGTTTTAATGGGAAAAATAGAGAGCATGCAGAAACAAATACTTCATTTGAGTAGCTACATGGAAATTCTTAGGAAGAATAAAAATGCTAGAAATTAAAAACAGTTATAGATATAAGACCTGCCTTGAATGGATTCATTAGTAGAGTGGATACTGTTAAGCAAAGAATCAGTGAACCTGAAGATGTATCAGTGGAACAGCAACTCCAAAATGCAAAGAGAAATGAATGAAAAAAATCCAAATTTAGTGGAATGAGTTCAAAAAGTATAATAAATACGTAACTAGAGTACATATGAAGAAAAGAAAAACAAAAGAAATATTTGAAGCAAAATTATCATGATTAGTGACAGATCTTAAACAACAGATTACAATAAAATAATTTAAATCAGCAGGGGATTTAGCTCAGCAGTTCTGTGGCCTGCCTTGCAAGCGCAAAGACCCGAGTTCAATCCCCGGTACCAAAAAAACAAAACGAAACAAAAATAATTTAAATCATATGGAGTATATTATATGTAGACTGCAGAAAATGAAAAGCAAGAAGGTAGTCAGAGAAAAAGACACCTTACTAATAGCAGAACAAGTACAAGAATTACAGTGGAATTCACACCAGAAAACACAGAAATAAGAAGAGAGTAGAAGGAAATACTTTAAATTGCTAAAAGAAAAAAACCTAGAATTCTACATTCAATGAAATTATTCTTCAAAACTAAAGCAAAAGCAGGCCACAGAGGCTCACACCTACAGTTCTGGCACTCTGGGAGACGGAAACAGGAGGATCACAAGTCAAACATCACCCTGGCAACTTAGCCGGACTCTGTCTCAACATAAAATATAAAAAATGCTGGAGATGTAGCTCAGTGCAAAGGCCCTGGTTTCAATTCCCAATACTGAGGGAAAAGAAAAGTAAAGGAGAAATAATGACTCTCTCAGAAAATACAAAATTGAGGGGCCAGGGATTTAGGTTAGTGGTACTGCCACCTGCCTCGCAAGCACAAGGTCCTGAGAGTTTGATCCCTGGTACCTCCCCCACAAAAAAACTGTAGGAATTCATTGTCAATATACCTGCACTGCAAGAAATATTAAGATACATCCTTTAGGCAAAAGAAAAAAATTATATATAAACACTTGCATCTACATAAACAAAATAAGAGCACTGAATAAGGAAAAATGAAGATCAAACAAAACATTTTATTTATATTATTAAATTAAATGCTAATATAATAATACTGAAACTGTGTTGGAAAATGCACTATATGGTAAATAAGATGAATGAGAATAATATAACAATGAATTAAATTATATTATTTAAATATAGATATATTATAACACAGGTGAACATTCGAAATTTTCTTAAAAGAATTATAATTCATGCATGAAAGTGGAAGAAAAACAATTACATAAAATGCTAAAACAAGAAAAGAAAGAAAAGACAACAAAACAAATGCAGTCAACAGAAAATTGAAAAAAATCTCTCACTAGTTACAATAAGTAAATGAATTATCACTTGATTGCTTTAAATGACAATGCTTTGAACATACCAACTTGGATATTATTTTTCAGATTGGATAAGGAAAAAAGATTCAACTATATGCTGTCTACAAATACTCGACTTTTTAAAAGACTCAAATAGGTTAAAAGTAAAGGGATATGGGAAGAAAAGGTCTAAAGGTGTAGGGAAGGTGGGATGGGTAGGGGAAGGGTAATAAGGGAAAAGAAAAAATGTGAGATAATGAAAAGATGGAAATAAAGTGGTAGTAAATGGGGAGGAAAGGGGGGGTGAAGGGAGGGCAGGGACAAGGGGAAAAATGAGAACCATGACCTGTCATGTAGAGGTACAAGATCCTAACAATGAATGTAATTGTATTGTAGCCCTAAAATGTACCAATAAACTCAATTAAAAAGAAAAAAAAATAAAGTGCTTCTGCATTACAAAAAGAAAAAAAAAGTAAGGGGATAGTGTGATACGCTTACACATATCAAAAGAAAGTTAGAGCAAGTATAGCAATTCAGAGAAGGCTGAATTCAAAACAAGAAAATTTATGAGGGGGTATTCCACTGGTATTCCATGATGATAAAGGAACCAAGTCTCTGAGAAGATGTAGCAATCTTAAAAAGGTGGTAGGTAACTTATACAGAGGCAAAATTTGATGAAAATATGAGGAAAACTAGGCAAATTCACTACTACAGTTGGAAGCATCAACAACTTTAAAGTATTAATAGATTAAGCAGCTAAAATGTTAGTAAGAATATAAATGATATAAATAGTATTATCCATCAACTCGATCTAGCAGTCCTCTATAAACCTCTCCCTCCAACAGCAGAATGCATGGTCTCCTCAAGCATTCATGGAACTTTTACGAAGATCATCCACATACAAGGCCAAAAGCACACTTTAAAAATTTTAGTAGAATAAATGTATACAAAGTATATCCACAGATAACAAAGGAATTAAACTGGAAATCAACAGTGGAAATTCCTATATATCTGGAATTATGTAACACATCCAACGATCAAAGAATAAGTCTCAAGATAAATTAAAACATATGCTGAAGTAAAGGAAGGAGAACACAATTTATTCAAATTTTTGGGAAGCAAGGAGAGCAGCATTGAGAAAAACATGTGCCATGTTAAATGTATCTGTAGGAAATAAATTCATAAAACCTAAAGGTAGTAATTTAAGCTTTCTTTCTAAGAAATTCAAGAAAAGCTATTTAAACTCAAAGCAAGTAAAATAAGAGTTTAAAAACTCAGAGCAGAAATTAATGAAACTGAAAACATGAAAATAAACAAGAATCAATAAAACAAAAGGCTGATTTTTTGGAAGAGATTAATAAAACTGATAAATGTCTAACTAATCCTAACAAGAAAAATGACTCAGAGAAGAAATAAATTAGTGATATACTATAAAGGTGCAATATTTCTGA